ATATATTGACGCTATGAAATAATCAACTTTCTCAACCCTTAAGAGCCCTTTTAAAAATATAGGAGATCTTTGTAATAAGAGTTGTTTGGAATCACTTCTTCTTCTGCTAGATAGTTCACCACTGGGAACCAAATAGCTTACCTTTTGATACTGTCCAAGGGGTTTTCTCGGCAAAAAAACTGGAGTGGGTTGCCATTTCCTTCTCCAGGGGATCACACTTGGTCTGAGTTCTCTGCTGTGGCCTGTCCGTCTTGGGTGGCCACGGCATAGCCCACAGCCTCATCGAACCACACAAGCCCCCTCGCCATGACAAGGCAGTGATCCATGAGGGGGCATCAATAAATACAATAGACTTAAAGATGTACTTTCCATTTGAAGGCTCATCCAACGTATACTGCTCTGAGAAATAATGTAAACAGACCCATTTACTGTTTGGTGTTTCTAGTAGCACTAAAGATACTAGGTTTTTTTTACCGGGATTTTTTTTTTAATGTCTGGAACTATTCAGACCAACTACCACCATCTGACCTCCTTCACTAGGTAAACTTAAGTAAATTGTAGTCATAAGTGTTCTATTCAATAGAAAGAGACCAGATAAAAATATTAGTAAATCAATTGTAAATTATAAGCACATGAAATGGGGCCAAAGCAATTCAGTCAGACCCTGACCTTCAGTCCTTTTAGCAAATGAATCAATCCCATAAAATTGAACATACAGAAAATTATAGCAATAATGTATGTTCTATGCACATATCATATAGGCCTTTAAAAAACCAACACAAACATACTTCATATGACAGCTATGCAGTCCTGAAAAGACAATTCAGGAAATGTAAAAAACAAACATCATCTACAGCTAAGTCTGTCAAAGGAGAGCCCCAACTCCAAGAAGGAAGTAAACTATAAATATGCAATAAAACTAGCCAAAAGGCAGCCTTTAAGAGGAACTCCTTTTGTGCATGGCAATAAAGTGCAATATATAACAAGTAAGCAACAAATTAAAACATTACGTCAAATCCCCCCTCCCCTTCCACTCATTTCTGTTCCCTTCTACAGTAAAGTATGAGATAGTAATTAATCCTAAAAATTGACCATACAAACCAGTACTTCATCGCCTACCCCCCCTGAACCCCCCATCTATCATACCAGTTAATCAGAAAGAGTATGAACAAACATTTAAAAAACCATTTCAAATACATTGCATGTGGATGCCATGCCACACTGGATATACAAATCATGAAATGTAATAAATAAACACCAACTACATTTAAGACTGGCGATGCTGAACCCCTATTCCAAAGGACAAGTAAGTTATCAACAGGCAAGACAATGGAACAAACATTAACTATTAAAACAAGCATCTTTTTTGCTAGATAAAAGAACATAATGCATTACATGTAAACCAGCAATGAATTAGAAAATGGAATCAAATATCCTTCAGAACCCAGTTCCCTCCTCTCCTTCCATCCATTCCTGTTCCGACAAAATATAAAACAGTAACTGATCCTAAAAAAACAATCATGCAGACAACAAATTCAACCCCCACCTCCCTCCCAGTTCCCCCTTGATCTTCCCAGCTATCATACCATGTCATCGAAAAAATTGAGAACAAGGACAAAAAAAAACATACACACTCTTCATGAATAGACAATGAAACCTTTAGTTCTCAAAGAACCAAAGCCAAGACTTAAGCTCAGCAGGAGAGACCATTTCAAACAAGAAGACCATGAGGAGCCCTCTACCCTCCCACTCCCTCACCTCCCGCCCAACAACCCAACGTTAACTTAGTATTATAAATTAAGAATTTAATAGGTTATCTATTAAAGAACTGTCCTGAACGTGACTGTTTATTCCCTTCCCTTTATATAGAATCACTAACTGAGACCTTGCTCCAACAGAGCAAAGTATTCGTGGAGTCCAACTTTCTTTTCTTTTGTGAAGATGATGCTTCTTCTGAAGGTGCGTACAGACCCAAGACTTGCAGAACACCAGGGCCTTCCACAGGATCTGAAGCATAAAGAACTTTCCCTTGATGGGAGACTTGCATGCCTCCAGTAGCTAACCATCTATACTTGACGTTGGCAGCAAGTAATGCCATTGTAATGGGCTTCAGAGAGCACCGAACTGTCTACTCAGTATTGGCAGTGGATCTCCAAGGTCTCAGGCAGAGGTCTTTCACATCAACTACTGCCAGATCTTTTAACTGGAGATACCAGTGATTGAACCTGGGACCTTCTGCATGCCAAACAGTTGCTCTGCCACTGAGCCACAGTCCCTGTGGGTCCCTGCTTGTCATCTCTGAATACATAACCATTTCCTAATACATAACTTGTTATCTCTGAATACATAACTCACTGACAACCAGAAAGTGAACTCATTTCTGAAGCAGGTGTGCAAATTACAATCTGCATTATCCTTGGTAGTATTGTATCTGTACCAAGCAAACTATGGTTTAAGCCTTTTCCCATCACTACAGTCCTTCTCATTACAAGGTGATTAGCTGGTGTCAATAAATATGCACCCTCTAGGGAGCAGGACTTAATTCGCTAAATCACCACTTCTGAAAACTATTTGTGCTAGGTAAAACGTAAAGGTTCCCTTGCTCGAAAGCTGGTTGAATCCGACTCTAGGGTTGCGGTGCTCATCTCTGTTTCAAAGCCGAAGAGCCAGCGCTGTCCAAAGACATTTCCGTGGTCATGTGGCCGGCATGACTAAACACGAAGGCGCACGGAACGCTGTTACCTTCCCACTGAAATGGTACCTATTTATCTACTTGCAATTTCTTGCTTTCGAACTGCTAGGTTGGCAGGAGCTGGAACTAGAGATGGGAGCTCACTCCGTCATGCGGCACACTCAGGTCTCAAACTGCTGAACTATTGACCTTCCACAGCCTGCAGTTCAGTGTCTTAACCACTTGAGCCACCACATCATACAAAACATACACACACACCCAAAAGTGCCAAAAGATCAGTTTATATGAGGGGTGTCATAGAGGGGTGTCTAAAAATCAAATGAAAAATTATAATTCAGTCCTAAACACGTGAGTTTGTCCATCTGATAGATCAATGGAACTTGCTTTCTAGGAAGGAGTACAAACCTACAAATATTAGGAGAATCATTTAACTGAAATATGCCGATTGTTTGATACATCTTACAAAAATTATTATATATGGTTAGGTTTCTTACAGATTTTTATTTAAATTTTTAAAAATTATCAATGGGCTATGTGTAATGACAGATCATGTGTAGTTTTTTTAAATTATGCATAACGTGTTTAAAGGTCAAAGAGGACATCACATCCCTATACAGGATTCCCCGCAACTGTAAAATCTAAACTGCATTTTTTTTTAAAAAAAGGAAGACAATCAGCCATTTAGAAAATGCTTCCCTCCTGCAACTTCTTTCAGTCCCTGCCAACAGCACAGGAACACAAGCAAAATCAGCCTCTTAAGCAAATTAGGAGACATGAGCAATTTAGCCCATTAGGAAAATAATGCAGAAGAATTGCCATTCGTTGGTAATTGGAGACCCAATGGGTGCAGGAAAATAAGCACAATTATCTGAGCTTTTGTCTAGATATTATATCAAAAAGGCAGGAATACGTCTTTTTTTTAAGTAAAAGATACTCAATAAAATAAAAGTTTACATGAGTTTGGGGTATACCTCAAATGTGGGGAGGTTAGTTCTGAGTAACTTTGAGAGGAACACTTGGTGTTTATGGTAAAATTCTGCAGCTGTTACTACTCTAGAAAATGTAATCATACAAGAATAACTGTGTTAACCTGTTGCAACAAAAAGAAAGAAAGAGATGTCTGTTGCCCTCCTATTAGTCTAAGTTTTATGGCAGCATAGAATTTTGCAGACTATGCTTTTTCAGATGCAATCACAAAGTCTTTGGTCACAATTAACCCGCTAAGATGCACCAAAGTCTGTTATTTAAAGAACATTTCATATTGCAAATATTTTTAGAGCCATAAGTAGAAAATACTACAACTGTCAAGCTGGCCCGCATACTAACACAGCGACCTTGTTTCCCTCCCCAGTCTACACTTACTAGAAATGAAGAAGTGTTGGCTTAGGAAATCATAAGTGCACCTTGCAGAGATAAAGGTACCTTATTTTTGCCCTAAGTATTCAAGTAAATCCAAAAGTGCAGAATAAACCATGATTAATATGAATTTCTCTTACCTGCTTACCATCCAGTGTGCAAATTCTCTTCACAATTCCTGAATCTAACTTAATAGCTTCTGTTATATCAGTTAACACTTGGTCAAAGGAATGAGCAGTCTTTTTATTCAGCAAAATTCTCACAGCTTTTCGTGGCTTCACTCCACTCCGTATAACGGTTACTAATTTGGGCTTAATGAAGTCTTTACTCTCCTTCATTTCACTTCTTGAAGATAACAAAGATGTGAGGGATCGAGATGACCCAGATTTTATGTTGACTGACCAGTTTGGATTAACATTCTTAGTGTAATCAACTTTCCGAAATGGTTCATTGGATGCACATACATAACTTTCACCTGGGGAAAGATTAAAAAACAGACGTTACATTTCTTGATAACCTTGATAGATTTTTGCTTCAAGAACCAAGTACTGCACTTTGATTTAAATATATAAAATACATTTTCCATACAGTTTCTTGAGTCCCACCAATAAAATTTGGGTTTCTTTAAGACAAGATATGAGACTATACTTAGTTCAAAAGGTTGTTAAACATCTTCTGTTGAAAAATAAAATTTAGACCAAATGCACTGTTTCCAAATGTTTGAAATAGTTAATATACTTGCTTTTAATAAAATAAATATAATTAGATTGTGCAGAGACTCCACACAGGAAAAAAATAGTTTGCGCTTACATATCATATAAGTGGGAAGTACAGCTGAGATGACACTGCCTTTAAAAACAAAAGTCTGCTACAACCCTGATCTCTGCAAGCCCTTCCAAAACAAAAACATCTCTATAAAATGTATGTTTTCGTTATTTGTCTGAAGAGTGAAGCAATCTCACAATTCTGTGGACTCCTCTATGAGCAATGAAAAGGGTAAAAGCAAATATGAAACTGAAGGAAAACTTAGAGCTAAATGAATGTTATTTCTCAACTAATAATGATCCTCAGTTACCTGCTAATAGTTCAGACAGCAGCATAACTAATTCTCAACATGGTCCGTCTATGGATACTTAAATCCAGAGATTGAAGCCATAAATAGTTGGAAAGCAAATGACCTTATGAACATCCTATAAATCTGCATTGATCCACCACTTACTGAAATAGCAGAGAGAGAGAAGAGGAAGTATTGTTCTGACACGCAAAGATGACATACTATCCACTTCTTCACAACCATTTAATGAAGAGAACTGAGCAAAGAAATGATACTAAACGTGGTGATAAATGCCTGAAGCAGGATAGAATTCTTTGAGTAAATGCATATAAACTCAGCAATGTCCTGCTCTGCAACAAGTTAATGGGTTGGATATTGCACAAAATTTCTACCTGTACTAGAACTCTTACACACAAGTGAAAAGTCCATAATAACCACTCGTGCTATATACAATTTATTATAGCCCACTTGTGAAAAATGTTGTACAACCAATTTCTGGGCACTGCAGTACATAGGGAGGAAAGTGCTAGGTGCTGCACAAGATATCGTACAGGCAGAAGTGCATGAAGTCCATTTATGTTTTCTCTTGTTCCTCACTGGACCCGTCTACTTCTTGTAAAATGGGCAAAATAGAGTTTATCAAGGAATCAGAAGGAGGACCTAATTTCCCAATTCTATCCATTTTCCTTTATTCACATTGTCCTTTGGACACAACCTCAGTACACACCAGGCAAACCTGTGTCTGTTCAGACAAGTCGCATAATCCTGAATGCACCCTTGACACACAGAGACAAGACACAATCAATGATATCTGAAGCAAATTATTTTAGCCAACAATTCATTGCTTCCAGCTGTTCCAAATGTTGGTAGAATCTTTCAAAGCATATTATTATACTGGTTGCCAACCCAGTAGTAGAAGTGTGTCAAGCAGTGATGCTCACTCAGTGGTTCGGGAGGCAGATGTGGCTCTTTGACACACCAACTGTGCATCTTTTGAGCACCATTCTCCCATGGAGCATGTCCCCCATGTTTCAGAAAAGTGGGCAAGGGCCTTGCCCAGTGGGGATTCTGTTGACAGGTGGTTTTCACATTGAAACAGGCGCCACCAGAGCAATGGGTAAGCAGAGAGTCTCCCTCAGGTGCAGACCTCATGCCAGGGATGGAAATAACTGTGGCTTTTTTGATTGACGGCAATTGTGAATGTGGCTTTCCGTGAGCCACAGAGTGAGTTATCACTGGTGTAGAGCAATCTCAGTTATATTACAGGTTTTGATATTTTTAAACACCATCCACAGCTCAAGATTAGCCCTTGTACTGTGTAATGAAAAATTCAACAGGACAAATACAACTTTGAAATATCCAGTATTCTATCCCAATTAAGGCAATAACCAGCTACATTTTACATCTTTTGCTTCCAACTTGTCTTTGATAGCAATCCTATAGAGCACTACACCATACTCAGGAATTACAGAAATAAAAGTGGGGACCCATGATACTCATGAGGGATCCCTTCCCCTTCTTACCTTTATAGCGCCCATCTCCGCCACTGGGACCAGCATGGCTCCCCACCTCCACCACTGGGCCCACCCAGGCTAACTCCCCCACCAACAAGGGTGAGCCCCACATGAGGTCCTGGCCACCAGGTCACCAAGCCTTGCCCCCCCCCACCAACACCGGCAAGCCTACAGGGCTCCTGGTCTCTGTTGCCAGGTCTGCCAAAGCTAGTCCACCCCCCCCAGCTGACACTGGTGAGCCCTTTATGGCTCCCAGGCCCACCGAGGCTTGCTCTCCCCTGACTGAGAGTGGCAAGTCCTGCACAGCTCACAGCTCCTTGGGCCTGCTGAGACTTCCTCCCAACCACTATCAATGGCAAGCCCTGCATGGCTTCTGGGTGACATCACTGACAATGCTTGCTTCCCACCATCCTCCCCAACACCAGTGAGCCCCACAATGCTCCCAGCCTCCATCTCTGAGGATTCTTCCCCACATTGACAACAATGGCAAGCCCCTTCAGGCCTCTCAAAGCTTGTACACCCCCCCACCCCCCGCAGGTGAGCCCCATGCAGCTGCTGGCCTCTGCAGCCAAGCCTGCTGTGGCTTCCTGATGCTGCCATCCAGCATGGGAGAAAGGGGAGGTGCCTGCATGTGCAGACAATGCTTTTCTTTGGGGAGAATGTAAACCCTCCTCCCATGTATTTTTTAAAACTTTTTCAGGTTTTTCAGCAAACCTGGGGAGTCCCACAAGTTCACAGAACTATCTGTTTTTAAGTCACTGTGGGCCCAATCTGTAGAGTCAGGTATCCCTAGATGAGCCCACATGTGACTATTAGAGTATAAGATGAATTTCAGTTAGCATGTATACATCCATAGGATTATATGGTTATTTTCTTCTGCATCAGGTAAGAACTGAGCCAGCTGGGCTGGGGGAAAGAACACAGGAGAGAGCTGCTGGGAAGGTGACCTACCAGAACAGTCCCACTCCTGTGCTGACAGCTCTTCTGCGGGAGGGCATCAGTCTGAGGAGGAGGGATGTGATCCCTTAGAAGGGACCCCTTCCTTGGGTGGTGGACCAATATCCTCTTTTACAGAGAATACCCCTGGGGGGCTAGGAGGAGGTGGGCTTCTAGTAATAGGTGATATGATCATTAGGAATATACAGAGTGGGGTCCGTGACAGGAGGTTTGACCACATGCTGACTTGCCTGCCTGGTGTCTAGATAGGTTGTTAGATAGTGCTGGGGAGGTATCAACAGTCATGTTGCATGTTGGCACCAATGGCATTGGGGAACGTACTTGTGTGGTCCTGGAGGAAAAATGTAGGCTACTAGGAAGATAGTTAAATGCCAGGACCTCAAAGATAGCATTCTCAGAAGTGGTGCCTGCTTCATGCAGACGGCCTGCTAGATAGGCACAGATCAGGGGTCTCAATGTGTGGATGAGAAAGTGCTGCTGGGAGGAAAGGTTTAGATTTGTTAAACACTGCATAATGTTCTGGGACAAGCCAACCTGTAAAAAACAGATAGGCTTCACTTGAACCAAAACGGAACCAGGCTGCTGGCGATTAATATCAAAAAGGTGGCAGAACAGCTTTTACTCTAATCCCAGGAGAAAGGCAACAGGAACTGGGGAGTCTCCAGTTCAGGACAAGTCAGTACAAAGGGATGATTACATAAACACTCAAGGTAATACTGGAGGCTGGCAACCCTAGTTTACGGAGGAGATGCCTAAGGGGGTGGGGATATGATAAGAGGTTTATAAAATTATGCAAGGGGTGGAGAGAGTTGACAAAGCGCATTTTTCCCCCCTCACCCAAAATACTAGAACTCAAAAGCATCAAATGAAGCTGAATCCCAGAGTCAGGAGGCAACATCAAGATGGTCCAATGAACCAGTTATTGATATAAAACCACCTTGATATGCCTTAAAGGCATATCAATAGTGTATATAAGCTACAGCACAAACAGGAAGCTCTGATAGGATCTGTTCAATCACATATGTGTGCATTTGTTTAAATTTTGTGCCTGCTTTAAATGGTCTCAGATTTGTATGGTCTAATGAGCTAACTTTGAACAAGTAGCCACTCCAGCTCCAGAACAACATTCACCACTTGCTTCAATACGCTAGTGAGCAAGTCAGATTCACATGGGGCAGGGCAAAGGAAACAAACTGCAGTCTACACGTAAGGTAGGATTTGTAGCCCTTTTCACTTCAGGGAAAAAGCAGGGTTGTATTTTTAGAAATAGCTGTAAACTACAAGTAAATTTAATCCCTCAACTAACATTTCAATAACACAATAATGTCTGCATAAATAGAAAAAAATGTGAAATCGCAACAGTTTTATATAGAATAGACATATCAAACACACTAAATGTTTGCTGTAGTCTGCATAAACATGCTGTGGTTTCTTCGACACTTATTATTTTAATCTCAAAGGATTTTCATTTACTCAACAAAAGTATCTGATGTTGCTCTTATTAATTCCCCTCAGAAAGCTAACATCAATTTGCAGAAGTAATTTCTCTCTTGAGTTATGGTTAATATTTATGCTATTGCTAATGAAATATTTTTTGATTCAGTGATGATATGGAATAAGGCTTGTAAGGCAAATTCTAGAACATACAATTTAACTGCTTAAATTTAAAGGTTGTGTACTTTAAGCGGAGATGAAAGGCCCCTAATGCAAATCCTGTGCCTGCAATAAACTCTCTTTAGAGTTCATAATCACCTATCTGCTGTTTCCATACACTGGCAAGCTCCTTCCAATATATCTGAAAAAGTGTGTGTGCGCACAAAAGCTCATCTCTCTATATTATAATTCTCTGTTGGTGGTCACACACTCGAGAACATTCTACACGCTCCCGAATTGGTTGGGCCCCTGGCGTGTCACTCAGAGGCTTCCCCAGCTTCCCCTATCCCATTGGCT